CCAGAGCAAGCACACAAGAGAAAGAAGTAAAGGGCATCCAGATCCATAAATAGGAAGTCAAACTGTCACTGTTTGATGATGATATGATTTTATACTTAGAAAACCCCAAAGACTCCACCAGAAAGCTCCTAGAAACTGAGAAATGAATTTAGCCAAGTTTCAGGAGACAAAATGAGTGTACACAAATCAGTAACTCTGTTGTACCCTAAATGCAAACGCTGAGAATTGAACCAAGAACTCAGACCCTTTCATAATAGTTGCAAAAATAAAATAAGATACTTTGGAATAGAAATAACCAAGGAATTGAAAGACCTCTACAAGGAAAACAACTTTAGTATTTTTAATGGGTTTAAATGAGAGGCAGCCGGTACAGTGGAAGAAGTCAGTGGGTGGGCATCAGCCTAGGTATAATTATTTTCTAGTTTTTGTTATTAACCTATGTAACCCCTTCCATTTCTTGTTAAAGATCGTAAAATTTCATACTCTTGATTTATGCTGACTGCAGTTAGATGATTTGTTTCTATTTTGTTGACTACCTTAAATAATACCTACAAACAGTAAACTGTTAGGAGGGTTTTTGGTGTGCTTAAATGTAGTAAGACTTACTTTCCAAATTATAACTGAATTAATTTATTAAACACTTGTTGAAGTTTTTGATTTACTCAAAATTCTGTGCTCAGTAGCTGGAAAAGCCTTCCCTTACTCTTATGGAGAGGCATACTTTCTCATGAGGGGAATACTCTGCAAGAATTAGTATCCTGTAACCAGTGGTGAATTTGACTAATTAATGTACAAAAAAACAAAAACAAAAACATTTTTTGGTGTGGCTGCTGGCAAAAAGATCCAAGAGGATAGATAGAATCAAGTTTCCTGAAACAAGGAGAGAGAAAAGTAGTATTCCAGGCAGAGAGCAGGGATATAGCAGGGAAATGACTAGGTGCAGTTCAGACGATTTATAGAATGAAATTAATCAACTTTTGAAATGAATGGCAAGTATTCTCCCAGAGTTTCATTTGAGTCATGTCATGGCTGTCTTATTTAAACATCAAGTGAAAGTTAAATTTTTTAAGTTGTTACTTGTCTTCAGGGTGTGAGAGAATATTTAAGTGATAATCTTTTTATCCTCCACGTAAGAAAACAAGACTAGAGAAACCTATGGCTTCCTCACTTGTTGGTGGCCTGGCAACCCTGGCACACAGAACCTCTGAATCTGAAACACCTGTTTTGTCACAATATTGCCTGAAATAATATATGTAGGATTAGTAAGTTTGTAAATACATTAGTCTTGTATTCATTGCAATAAATTTCTCTTGTACCAGTATTATTTAATACATTACATTTTATTGTAATAAATAAATAATAGAAATTCTCAGCTGCTTTATATCATGGTCAAAAAAAAAACAATGAAATTGTATTTTAAACTTTTGTCATTATTTATAAAGAGAATTCATAAAATCCTTGTTAGGTTTGATGACAGGTACCATATTAAGAGCAGCATTTTCTAACCCATATCTCAATATCATCTCTGGAAGTTAAGAGCCTCCAATGGTTTTTCTATAGAGTGCACATGATACCACACTCAGGCAGTTCATGGAGTGTAGGAAATATCTTAGTGCTTTGTCATTTGACATTTTAACCGAGAAAAAGAAAATACACTTTGATAAGTTTATCTTATCCTTCCCTTCCTCTTTAGATATCTACAGAGCATTTTGCTTCCAAATTCAATTCATGCTCGACAATTTTTATTGATGACAGCACAGTCACCTGCCCTCATTTTACAATGACACTAAAATCGTGAGTACAACTATACTGCCAAGGGACAGATTAAAATTATTTCAGCCATTTGGTTGTCCTCTTCAATCAGTTTAAGAAATTGGAGTGAACTATATATTGACACCAGATTCTAAATATTAAGTATCAATTTCTAAATATTAAGTATCATCTACTGCATGGTAAAAGGAAAAATCTGTTAGCAAATAAGCAATTTCAGAAAAAGTGTTGCTATTTATTTGATGCCTTTATATCTTAAGACAATGTTGAATGCAGTGAGACATTGCTGAATGCAGTTGAATGCAGTTCCCTTTATTGAATGTTTTTTGTGAAAAATTAGTTTTTCAATGCATTGCAGGCCTAAGTCAATGTGTACTACTTTGGACATTGGTCTTAGAATAAGGAACAACTTTTTCTCCTCTGGCACCACAGTGTATCTGCATTTGAATATCTCCCGTTGGCACTTCATGGGCCACAAAGATGCACTTTGAGAGTACTCTGAGATGAAGTTTATTTTTTAAAAGGAACAACCACCAGCGCCATCACCACAGGGGCTGTCCAGTGTACATTATTATCATCTCCTTGGTTATCAGTGTTGATTTTTAGAGCGCAGTTTGGAAAGTGCTAATTTAGAATATTAATGTCTTTATATTTAAGTTTACTTTTCATTCTAGAAATGTAACTAGCTAGCTTATAAACAATTTTGTTTTGAATGCATTAGACTTTTTAGCTAATTCAATTGTCAGTAACTTTTACTTTAATTAAAAATGGCAGGTTTACACTCATAATAATGTCACTTTCCTCCCTCCCTTATAACAATAGTTGAGATGAAATTGTGTTGCAGCAAAAATTTGAATCAAACTCTGTCTCAGGTGCTGAGCTTTGGGACCCATTGAGTAATCACTAAATGTCTGTAGTCAGCCAAGTCTCTTCAGTCTTTTTTCTTTTTCTTTCTTTTTTTTTTGAGACAGAGTTTTGCTTTTGTCTTTTGCCCAGACTGGAGTGCGATGGCACCATCTTGACTCACCACAACCTCCATCTCCCAGGTTCAAGCAATTCTGCCTTAGCCTTCCAAGTAGCTAAGATTACAGTCATGCACCACCACACCCAGCTGATTTTGTATTTTTTTTTTTGTAGAGTTGAAGTTTCTCCAATTAGTCAGGCTGGTCTCGAACTCTCAACCTCAGGTGATCTGCCCACCTCTGCCTCCAAAAGTGCTGGGATTACAGGCATGAGCCACTGCACCTGGCTGTCTCTTAAATCTTTGAGCATAGAAACAAACAAACAAACTACTTTGCCTAGAGTCCCTGGCTGCTTTTGAATTCAAATGATTTTTATGTCTTAGCATAGAATTCAAAAGTAGCTTTGAAGATAGTCTTGTTCAAACAAGTTTCATGCTTTTTTCCTCATTCTTCTAATTTTTAGAAGTCTACTTTTGAAAGTAAAGTAAGTTTTAATTTTCCATAAGCAAGTTTGAGAAATGATCATTTGGTGTATTCACTCTTGGTGAAATAGAGGTTTATTGAGCAAATTCATAAGGCAAATTGGCTTCAAGAAAAGATTTTGAAAAATGTTCATCACAAGCTAGTAGTGCACTGTTATCAATGGGATAGGTGGAACTCATTGGGATCACTTTTGCAATATTTTTCTTCAAAATACCTGTCTGCAAATACATGTATCCTCCAATCTCCACTTTCCCTCTATCTCCAGGCCTTTTAGGAAAAGGCTTCACATCTTTATGTGAAGAAAAGCATCCCAGAAGATTCTGATTTTCACCCTAACTCAATCATTTCAAATTTTGCTGCACATTGAAATCACCTGGGAAAACTTTTAACAACAACCCTGATGCCCAAAGTTATACCCAATGTTAATTATTGAAAATGAAGCAGTTATTAAAAGTTCTCAGGTGATTTTAATGTGCAGCAAAATTTGAGAGCCACTGCCTAATTTGAGTTTAGGGCAAGAAAGTGCTGCTATTTGGTGGGAACTTGGGCAAGTCAGTTTTGAGATTTGTTTCCCTGACCTGTAAAATAGGTGTTGGATTAAATGTCATGTAAGATCATTGGTCCTTTCCAGCATATAACTTCAAATTCTATGATTTTAAAATTATTTCAGAGATGAAAACTACTTGAAGCACTATAGACATATCCATCTTAAGTGCTAATGTTCAGGCTTTTTAAAAAGTGCTAATATTATGTCAACCTATTACTAAAATTGAGATTTGCTTTCCCTCAGTTATTTTGAGCCTCATTGTAGATACTGAGGGCAAATGGAAGCACATAGCTTATGTAAGAGAACCTCTTGTTTTCTGATACACAGCAACAGTGGGTAACTTAGGAATACAGTTACATATACCTGAAGAGTTGTATCTGTTCATAAATATTTCAGTTAAACTAATTGAAGATACCTGCCATTGATATTACACTGTGTCATGTTACACTGCCTTGTTAGCACTGCTTATTTTAGGATTGCTGTACCTATCACTGATGTCATGTGAGCTTATGTTTACTAACATATTTTCTAATAATTATGCAAAAGCAATTTCAAATAATTTTGTTTGTTATAAAGCACTTTCATTATGTTATGCATTTTTTGGGAAATAATTTAAAAAATGGGTGAGTAGGAGATAGTGAACTAAACTAAAATGCAGGGCCTAACATCTTAAAAAAGAAACCACTACTGTGTGGTGAAATTTAAATATATATACACATAGATATAAATTGCATGAGGCAGGGCGTGGTGGCTCAAGCTGTAATCCCAGCACTTTGGGAGACTGAGGCAGGCAGATCGCTTGAGGCCAGGAGTTTGAGACCAACCTGACCATCATGGCAAAACCCCGTCCCCACTAAAAATACAAAAATTAGCTGGGCATAGTGGCACAGACCTGTAGTCTCAGCTACTTGGGAGGCTGCGGCATGAGAATTGCTTGAACTCGGCGGGTGGAGGTTGTGGTGAGCTAAGGTTGCTCTGGGCAACAGAGCAAGTCTCTGGGTCAAACAATAAATAAATACTTAAAATAAATTGCATATGATGAAAGGTTTTGTGGGTAGAACATATAACAGGGAGATATGTTGTTATTTATATATTATAATAATCAACAGAAACACATTTTCTAACAGTGTATTGTAGTGCCTTGCATTTTTGTTCTCATATTTTTGCCAAAACTCAGGAAATGAAAACATGAAAGTGCCCTTATGGTACTGTTCTGAACTAGAAGGTTTAAATTTCAGGACTGCTAGGAGAGTTTCTGCCACACCCTTTTAAAAAGACATCTTCAGACCTAACAAATGATAACATCTATTGTTATGAATGTTTTTCCTTTCACAGTGTGGCCTTGGAGATATATTATCATATCAAGACAAGGTGAGCTTTTAAAAAAACTGTCTTGTTATTCTGGCTAATTACTTTGCAAGCTATCAAGCTCTCTAGGTCACAGCTCTAGACATCATGAGCTCTATTGGGCCTAGTAAAATATCCAAGCAAATTATTTGTGTTTTCTTTGGTCCTTAGGACTTTTAATTCTTAAATGATTGGGAATCTCAAAGAATATGTGTTTATATTGATCATATTGATATTTACTGTCATAGAACTATAAAATTGAGATTTTTTTTCAAAATCTATTTTGAGTTTAGATGTCACAGCCTCACCACTGTTGATATCTTGATCTAGATAACACTTTGTCATGAGGACTGTCCTGTGCATTGCAGAAAGTTTAGCAGCACTGATGGCCTGTACCAAGTAGATGTCAGTAGTAACCCATGACCCAGGTTGTGACAACAGAAAATACTCCTTGAGAACAATATTGTTAACATAATTTTTTTAATGAGAAAATACCTTTTCTACAACAAAAAATTGAGTGAAAAGTGTGTCATGTATTTATATTATTGAAAACCTCTAATGTTGTGCTTAATAGAACACAACTGGATTCTCTAGGTCTTTCTTTGCAATTTGCTTTAAAGAAGCAATAAGATGACCAGGTGTGGTGGGAGGCACCTGTAATTCCAGCACTTTGTGGGAGGCCAAGGCAGGCAGATCATTTGAGGTCAGACGGTTGAGACCAGCCTGACCACCATGGTGAAACCCATCTCTAATAAAAATACCAAAAAAAAAAACAAACAAAAAACAAATAGCTGGGCATGATAGTGCATGTCTGTAGTAAAAAGAGGGGAAGCAGTGACATGACCTAATCTCATGCAAATATGTAGATGGTAAAAGGTGCATTTTTAAAGCTTTGAGACAGTTGTGGTTATTTAATAATAAGTTAAAACTTCACAAGTGCTACTTTTAAAAATTAGTTACAGTGGTATTATACATATTAATAAATTTATTTTATCAGTACTCACTAATCTGTCTTGCATGGTAAATGGATCTTTCCCCCCATACTTGCATTTATAGTATTATGCACTCGTTATTTGGAATATATTGGTTTATGTTTTATTGCGTCAAAACTCACTTTTAACCACCAATATTATTTTAAAAGTCTTTAAGTGTTGAAAAGCTGTCAAGCCTACAGTAGAAGGAACAAGATTTTCAAAGTCCTCAGGAAAGCTTAATTTATCATTGGGAACAAATGCTTATTTTCCTTGAAGTGACAACCTCAGTTAATTTATTTTTGAGAATCATAGTTGTCTTTTTTTTTTTTAGACTGAGTCTCACTCTGTCACTTGGCTGTAGTACATTGGCATGATCTCAGCTGAAGCAATTCCCTCACTTCAGACTCCTGTGTAGCTGGGACCACAGATGTGTGGCACCATCCCTGGCTAATTTTTGTGCATTTTTGGTAGAGACAGAGTTTAACCATGCTGCCCAGGCTACTGTCAAACTTCTGAAGGAGCTCAAGTGATCTGCCTGCTTTGGCCTCCCAAAGTGTTTGGATTTTACAGATGTGAGCCATTGCATCAGCACAGTCCTTTTTTTTTGAGACGGAGTTTCGCACTTGTTATCCAGGCTGGAGTGCAATGGTGCGATCTCTGCTCACTGCAACCTCCGCCTGCTGGATTCAAGCAATTCTCCTGCCTCAGCCTCTCGAGTGGCTGGGACTACAGGTGTGCACCACCATGCCCAGCTAATTTTTTGTATTTTTAGTAGAGACAGGGTTTCACCATGTTGACCAGGATGGTTTTGATCTCTTGACCTCGTGATCCACCCGCCTCAGCCTCTCAAAGTGCTGGGATTACAGGCATGAGCCACCGCACGCAGCCCACAGTAGTACTTTTGAATATAAATAATGTTCTGTGACAAAAGTGATTGTTCAGCTCACAATTAAATCATGATTTTTTTAAAAACACAACCGTACTGCAGTGAGCAGAAGCACTTCTTGTTAGCTTTCCACTGATTCAGAATATTAAAGAGACATGTCAAGATTCAGTAACACCATTAATTTTTACCACCTCAACAAAGACATTCTTAAGTACTTTAGGCTGTTTTTTAACTGTAAGGGAGAATAAAGAATAGAATTACTACTAATGTAATTGGTACCACTGCCTTGATTTAGGCTGAGAAACCAGTAGCTTTATCCATTTTCGCTTTTATACATGGCAAATGTCTATGAAAAAGCAGTGTCTTTGCATTACTTTCTTAATTTAAAATCAGCGTTCTCAGGTTGAATTAGTATGATTATCAGAACAGTGTCCAGCAGACATGGTGGCTCAGGCCTGTAATCCCAGCACATTGGAAGGCCAGGCAAGTGGATCACCTGAGGTCAGGAGTTCAAGACCAGACTTGACAGCATAGTGAAACTCCATTTCTTCTACAAGTACAAAAATTAGCTGAGCGTGGTGGTAGTTGCCTGTAATCCCAGCTACTCAGGAGGCTGAGGCAGGAGAATCACCTGAACCTGGGAGGCGGAGGTTGCAGTGAGCCAAGATCCCACCATTGCACTCCAGCCTGGGCAACAAGAGTGAAACTCCATCTCAGAAACAGACAAACAAACAAACAAAAACAGTGTTGACCTCTTAGGTCTTCTCAGAAAGGGTCTTCGGGATCCCCAGAGGTCCACAGAACACATTTGGAGAACCACTGGTTTATCACACAGGCACAATGCAGTAGTTTTACAAAGTTTAAAGTTAATCAAAGACTAGCCTCTTTTAAAATAAAAAGGCAGATGAGTTTTTAATTCAAACAACAGAAAATAAATAAATACATCATGAAAGTATACTACAGAAGACTAAAAAGAAAGGAAGCTAGGAAATCAGAATCACATTTACATTTATTAAAGTTCTAAAGACTTTATTGTCCACCACTACTGCTTTGCAAAACATTCTTGTGTTTCAATGTGTGGTTAAGAAGAATGAAAATATGTTTGGTTTATTGCCATTGCCTGTTAGGGAGGGTTAATACCTATAGGCAGTTCTGACTGGTTATTGTGAAAAAGACTTCACAGTACAGGACATGATGTGCTGAGGAAGAAGAGGTTGGGAAACCTTCTGTAGGGCAGGATCCAGGAGAAGAATTTGTAAAAACTGTTTGCTTTGGCGAAGTAAACACCAAAGCACATAGGAGGCATTATTATACTAAACAGATATTATACGAAGATATTAACAGTTTTTGAAGTAATGCACATTCTTATTTTATAGAGATGAAGACAGAACTTTGGACATGTTTGACGAACGTGTATACCCGTTCACAGTAAGTGGCACTTTGATTGAGGTGGTATTTTTATCATAGACTTGTATTTGTTTCATGCTGGAGTTAAAGCCATCTTTAAATCTTCCCCATTTCGTGTATCATTTAGTCCTCTTAGCTGTTGTAAAAAGAATGTGTTGGAATAAGAACTGATCTGCAGCTCTGTTTAGTTAGTGAGCTAGTATGAGTAAATATACAATCCAAATAACAGAAAATGTATCCTTTGAAAGACGGTTATTAGTAGCATCAAGCAATATGAGTATATGTAAATACTTTTAACACAGAAGAATGACTTTTATGAAGACAGTTAAAAATAATTTAAGTTTAAATCAACTTACATAGTATAAAAATTTAAAAATGTACTTCCTCAAGTACATAATAGCCACATGTGGCTAGTGACTATTGTATTTAACAGTGTAGGCTTAGACCCTCATGGTTACAGGAAACTGTATTTTCTCAAAGTTTATTGCAGAGAATGACATACAATCAGTAAGACATTAAAGCCTAAGAGTAGCTTACAGTTGGATAGAATTATGTGGGGCAAAGAGTAAAAAAGAACAAAAATGTTCTGAACTTTAGCTCATATTATTTTTAAGTGAATGTTGATGAGTATTAAATCATTACGGTATTTTAAGATCCCACAGAAAGGCGTCTCACCAATCAAAATTACTGTAAATGATACATGGACACAAATGTGAACACTGCTGTCTTAAGAGCACTTCGGGTTGTCTCTTCAATGGATACTTATATTGCATCCTTTCTTTTTTCAGCAAGAAGAGGTTCTGGAAGAACACTTTATTTATGATCCTACACCCAAAGTGATTTTTAGTTTCATGTGTACTCTGTTTAATGCCAAAAGGCTAGGGGCTGAATTAGCAATCTTAAGTTTGGTAAGATATTTTCTATTTATAAAGCATCTTTAGAAATTGGTCTTGTAGAGCAGCCTGGCCAATATGGTTAAACCCTGTTCTCTACCAAAAATACAAAAATTAGCTAGGCATGGTGGCACACCCCTGTAGTCCCAGCCAGTTGGGATACTGAGTCAGGAGAATTGCTTGAACTCAGGAGGCAGAGGTTGCAGTGATCCGAGATCAAGCCAGTGTACTCCAACCTAGGCAACAGAGCAGGACTCTATTTCCAAAGAAAAAAATTGATCTTGTAAACAGGGTAGTATGGTCCTGTTTTTAAATGAAAGTAGGTTTCTGAAATTATCTCAGAACTTTAAGAGAAACTTATGAAAGCAAATACACACATTTGAGTCGAATCATCATTATGGCTTAAAATGTTGTCTTGCTTTTCTCATTACAGAACAGTTGCTATTAAAGGCAGCAGGAGGGATTTTTGATTTCTCCCCCCACGCTTCAGTGCACACATGCATACACAGTATGCACACATCCAGGGCATGTGGAGGGCTTGGAATGGGGAGCAGTAACAAAATGATCTGGTTGATGGGCAGGAATGCATGTCATTGTAGGTCTAAGCTGAGTCCCACAGTGTATTCCCAGGCAATTCTCATGTATGTTGTGATTGGGAGCTACTGCCCTCAGTTCATTGTTCCTTGAATGTGTTAATCTACCCTGCTGGGCAGAGTAGGTAGCAGAAATATTTGGGCTATGATTGTGATATGGCCCCTTGCTTAACCTGATGAAACAAAGTCTCTGTAGTAAGAATAAAAGGCATTTACTTTCTGGTCAAAACCAGAAGTATTCTGGTTTTTCATAAGAGTTCTTATCACAGCACTTAAACTGAGTTAAATCAAAGACCAATGCTCTGTTTTGCAGGTATACATAAAAAGACTTGTAAAGTATGCTTATTTCAGCATTTGTCCAGCCAACTGGAAGAGGATTATCTTCGGAGCCATTCTTCTTGTCCTCAGGGTTGTGTGCGATGACGCTGTATGCGATGACGACTTCTGCAAGCTCTTTGAGAGCATTACAGTTGAAGACATGTGAGTTTGTACAGTTTTTGTGAACTTTCTAACCATTTTTGAATACTTTATTTGCTCCCATAAACTTAAACACTTTAAGAAATACTTTGAAAGGTTACATTATGCAGATAATAAGAATGGGCATAAATACGACATATTCTTTCTCCCCAGCTTTAGAAGAACAGTTCATATTTTTCACCATTCATTGGTAGGTCTTGGTAAATTGCTGTTGTAATAATCTCATAAATGGAAAAGCATTTTTCTGGTGAATGTTTTTGGCAAATATCTTACAAGTGTACTATGAGAAACATAATAGTACAGTCAATTTTCTTATAGCTTTTTACAAGCAATCTGCACGTTCCAGTCTCTTTGTGAGGAGCACATGTCTGGCCTTTGAAATAATTGTTTGCCCATTGACAGATCTGGGGCCTCTGCATTGTGAAGTATAGCTTCACCCTGAGTCATACATTGTGTATTTGTGTTTGTTGGTGTTCTCCCGCTTTTCTCTGAAGATCCATTTTATAGAAACCTTGAGATACAGGACAGCCACAGTTCCCTGTTCCCCTGTCCCCTCCGCATTAGGAGTGTTTCATCACTGGGCCAATGAGTTAGAAGTTCCAGTGTCCCCCTTAGGCAGTCTGAGAAACATTGCTGGAGCATCACCCAGTGCTCACCGCACTCAGGAGGTTCCTGGGGCATTAATGCAACCACAGCAGCACTTGGGGGTCCCCAAGTTACCTATGAGATTGCAAGAAATCTTGCTGAGTCATGGGGTCGCTCACAAGTGGCAACATGACACTGAAACAGGAGCTTCATGGGTCTATGGGTCTTTCTTTCAGTCTGGCCTCATGACTGCTGTAAAGGAAAGGGTTTTGGGGCTGGCGGGTAGGGTGAGCCAGGGAGGCATTTCCAGCACAGGATCTCAGAGTGTCCACTAGACAGCAAGAATGGCTTTGTGCATGACACTTAGGAATATCTGAAGGAACGCCTCTTGATGACATAGAAGCATATGAAGATGAAGATCTTCAGGCAGTGGCAAGAGGTTTTTGGTTTTTGTTTTTTTGTTTTTTGTTTGTTTGTTTTTGTGTTTGCCTATTACTCCAGATAAGACTGTCATTCAGGGTGTACGCAGTCACAAATAGAAGTCTCTGCCGATTGTGCTTCCCACAGGAATAACAACTTAAGCAACTATCTAAATAAAAAAGCACCTCCATAAGAACCAACAATTATTTAAGTGATCATATGACATGGTTTTAACATCGTATCACTGAAAGAGGCACTGAACAGCATAGAAAAGACAGTCTTGAATTGTTGATGCCGCTACTGCGAACCTGTGGCAAGGAGAGAGGCTACATGCTTGGGGAAGGGAGAGCACAGCAGCTGTGGGACTTTGCCTGAGCTCAGGGCTGCCTTGTCTTAGCAGAAAGCAAAACAAAGCTGAACCCACCCAGTGCCCACTCACAGAAAAAACATTTAGACTAGCCCCGACCATAGGGGAATTGTTCATCCCTATGGTTGGAACTTGAGGTGTGAAAGCCTGGCTGCCATGGGATAAAATAGTCTGGGGTCCTTAATAAGCCTGAAAGGCTGTCTAGGTCCCAAGGACTGCAACTCTTAGGCAAGTCCGAATGCTGTGCTACGCTTGGAACCTGTGTGTTTGGGGGCACATCCCTCCTCCAACTCTGAGCAGTGCAGCTCGTAGTTCTGACAAAGACTTCTTTCTTCCACTTAAGGGAAGGAAATAGGAAAGAGGACTTTGTCTTGCAACTTGGATACTCACTCAGCCACAGTAGGAGAGGGCACTGGTCAGAGTCATGAGACCCCCATTTCAGGTCCCAGCTTCAGGATAACATCTCCAGACAAACTCTGGGCCAGAAGAGAACCTGCTACCTTAGAGGGAAGGACTCAGTAATGGCAGGATTAATGACTTTCTAATGAAAGAGCCCCTGGGCCCTGAAGAATCATCGGTGGTGAGCAGGTAGTACATGCTATGGGCCTGGAGTGAGACTGAGAGATGTGCTGGCTTCAGGTGCAACCCAGCACATTCCCAGCTGTGGTGGCTATGAGAGACTCCCTCTACTTGATAAATGCTGAGGGAAGAGTAAAGAGGATTTTTCTTGAGCTTAGATACCAGCTCAGCTAAAGTGAGAAGAACACCAAGTGAGCTGTAGGAGTCCATGATCCAGGCCTTGGCCCTCAATGGCATCTCTGGACCTACCCTGGGCCAGAGGGGAGCCTACTGCCCTGAAGAGTGAGTTCCAGGGCAGGCAGTACCCACAAGCTCACTGAGAGCCCTTGGGCATTAAATGAACATCAGTGGTGACCTAGCACTGATCCCCATGGGACTGCTATGATGTTGTGAGTGGGGACAGACTACTCTGCCTGGGGAAAAGAGAGGGAAGAGTGGAAAGGGATTTGTCTGGTGGATTCAGTACCAGCTCAGCCATGGTAGAACAGAATACCAGGTAGATGTCTAAGGTTTATGACTCCATCCCTGGTTCCCAGACAGTACCTCTGAACCCATCCAGGGACCAGGGGAACTTAACTGCACTTAAGGGAAGGTCAGAGGCCTGGCTGGCTTCACCACCTGCCGATTGTAGAAACCTGGAGCCTTGAGTGACATAGGTGGCAGCGGGTAGTTGTTACAGTGGGCCTTGTGCAGTCACAGAACTGTGTCACCTTCAGACCTAGTGCTGTCTGGACAGACCTAGTGCTGTCCCAGAGGTCATGGCCACAGCGGTGCTTGTATCACTCCTCTCCCAGCTCTAGGCAGCCTAGCACAGAGAGACAGACGTCATTTGTGGGAAAGTAAGAGAAGACGCGAGTCTCTGTCCACTAATCTAGAGAATTCCTTCAGGTCTGATCTCAGACCACCAGTGTGGAACCTCCACAATTCCGCAAAAACCAATGACATTTTTCACAGAAATAGAAATTAAAAAATGAATCCTAAAATGTACAGGCAACAAACAAACCTGGGGGAATTACGTTATCTAATTTCAAATTACCCTCTACACCTATAGTAACCAGAACAGCATGGCCTGTGATTAAAAACAGACACATAGACCCATGGAACAGAATAGAAAACCCAGAAACCAATTCATACATCTGCAGTGAACTCATTTTCTAAGAAGGTGCCGAGCACACGCAATGGGGTAATGACAGTCTCGTAGATAAGTGGGGCTGGGAAAACTGGACATCCATATGCAGAAGAATGAAACCAGGCCTCTATTGCTTACTTTATACAAAAATCAAATCAAAATGGATTAAAGATGTAAATCTTGGCTGGGTGTGTTGGCTCACACTTGTAATCCTGGCACTTTGGGAGGCCAAGATGGGAGAATGGCCTGAGCTCAGGAGTTCGAGACTACCTGGGCAATGCTGCATCTCTATCTTTCAAAAAACTAAAAATAGACTTAAATCTAAGATCTCAAATAGGACAATAAAATAAAACATTGGGAAAACTCCACGATATTGGAGTGGGCAAATATTTCTTGCATGATATTTTATAAGCACAGGCAACCAAAGCAAAAATGGGCAAATTAGGTCACATCAAGTTAAAAAGCTTCTGCACAGTAAAGGAAACAATGAACAGAGTGAAGCAACAACCCACAGAATCAGGGAGGGTATTTGAAAACTATCTGACAAGGGATTAATTACCAGAATACTTAAGGAGCTCAAATAACTCCATAGAAAAAAAAATAACAATCTGATTTTTAAAATGGGCAAAATATCTGAATAGACATTTCTGAAAAGAGGACACATTAGGCAGGCTTGGTGGCATGTAACTGTAATTTCAGCTGTTTAAGAGGCTTAGGTGTGAAAATTACCTGAGCCTGCTAGGTCAAGGCTGCAGTGAGCTGTGATTCTGCCACTGCACTCCAACCTGATTGACAAATAAGACCTGTTTCAAAACTCCTTAAGAAAGGCATACCGAGAGAGATCCAAGATGGCTGTATCACTAGCAGCTCGGGATTGTAGCTCCCAGTGAAAGCGCAAAGAAGGAGAGGACGCCACACCTTCACATGAATTCTTGTTGCGCACGCACCAGGAAATTCCCAGCGGAGGAGCCCCACGGGTTGCCAGCGCGACTCTTGTGACCGGCGAGGCGGTTTTGCCGGCGCCTCGGAACGTTGGTTCTTGGTGCAGAGTCAGAAAAGCACCATCAATCTTAACGCCGCTGATTTAGTCGGCACAGTGGGTTGCTCAGATTTCGGCGCTGAGAATCAATAAGTTGGACGTTCACTCAGAAACCCAATTACAAAGACGGTAATTATAAAGACCACATGGATAAATCTACAACGAAGGGAAGAAAACAGCCAAAAAAGGCTGAGAATACCCAAGATCAGAACGCCTCTCCCTCAGCAGGGGATCACAGTTCCTCATCAGCAACGAAACAAGGCTTGATGGAGAACGAGTGTGTTCCAATTACAGAAGCAGGCTTCAAAATGTGGATAATAAGAAATTTCTCTGAATTAAAAGAACTTGTTCTAACACAATCCAGAGAAACTAAGAACTTTGAAAAAAGGTTTGACGAAACGTTAACAAGAATACACAATTTAGAGAGGAATATAAGTGAATTGATGGAGTTGAAAAACACAATACAAGAACTACGTGAAGTATGCACAAGTTTTAACAGCCGAATTGATCAAGCAAAAGAAAGGATATCAGAGGTCGAAGACCAACTCAATGAAATAAAACAAGAAGACAAGATTAGAGAAAAAAGGATAAAAAGGAACGAGCAAAGTCTCCAAGAAATATGGGACTATGTGAAAAGACCTAATCTACGCTTGATAGGTGTACCTGAATGTGACGAAGAGAATGAATCCAAGCTGGAAAATACGCTTCAGGATATTATTCAGGAAAATTTTCCCAACCTAGTAAGGCAAGATAATATTCAACTCCAGGTAATACAGAGAACACCACAAAGATATTCCTCCAGAAGAGCAACTCCAAGGCACATAATCGTCAGATTTACCTGGGTTGAAATGAAGGAGAAAATACTAAGGGCAGCCAGAGAGAAA